AGAGCGAGAGAGAGAGAGAGAGGGAGATGCATAGTGTGTGCAGAGCAGGGGGACGCGAGGAACAATATTAAGAACCGCTGCTTTAGAACATTGATTTTGAAACTTGTGAATCCATTAGAATCGTTAGAAGACAGAATCGCTATTCATATATGAATAGATTTTTACGTGCACCTCTAGTTTTCTCTTCCTCTTCTCTAAAGCAGCGCTGCATGGCCCCCTTTGCTGCCTTTTCCCAAGGGCGGGGTTTATCTGGGTTTGTGATGTAACGAACCCGGGAAGTAACTTGCTGTAGTCCTTACCAGCCATTTTTGTAGGCATTAAACTGCCAGAATTTTAAAAAACTTTCAGCTTTGTAACTTTGCAGATATTGTTTATGCTCGGACAGCAACATTACGCACTAACTAACGTTAAAAAAGTGAAATCGCAATCAACCACCCCTTTAAAAAATAGCAGAAAACTGTGAGCCAAGCAGTATGTGCCATAGATACAGAGAAAATTTCCTGTAGTAACATTGTACTTGTGTAACAACACTGGAGTAAATCATTTTCGTGGTCAATAGTATCATAGGTCAAAAAACACACATGCAGGTCAAAGGACTACGCCAACATGGAAGATTATTGGAGTGTTTTACAAGAAAATACTATTTCAGTTTTTCTACTTCAAAATTTCACGTTTAATTCAGTGTGTCACTTGCCTTTTATTTGTAATTGTTTGTGAAATTTACTGGCCATTTCCATTTTTTTTTTCAGTGTATGATTAGGAATGTATTCATCAAATTCAGTACATAATATGAAAGCACAAGAATTTGGACACTCGCCAAGATCGATCATCCGGCTGATTTGGCATGTGCAGGTGCAGCAATGAGCACTTGAAAAATGGAGCATCTGTGTTTACTTTCTGTTTACTTCCCGAAGCACCACAGAGCTGCTCTCTCTATTAATCTTATTACATTACAGCAGTGATTAATCAGGGTACAGTCTGCCGAAGCTGGCAGAGGGGCTTCCCAGTTAGAGAGGTAGAAAGAAAGAGCATGTGCAAGAAAGAGAGTGAGATGCTCTCATTGTATTTCCAGTCACAAATGATCTCCTCAGGCAGCTGCCCCAACCCTCCTCTTTTCTCTTTTTCTCTGTCTTTTCTCTCTCTCCCCCCTCACATCTGTTTCCTGGGGTGATGTTCATGTTGCTACTTACTTTCCAGAACACATTTGATGTGATTGAAAATCCAATGTGCTGGAATGTCCAGGCACCAGGTGCATCAGCACTCTCTGTTATTCACATCTGAGAGGCTTTGTGATCTCTCTGCCAAAAAGACACAGAATAATTAGTGTGCACTCTAAACAGTGCTTCTACTGAAAAAAATGCCTTTATGTAACCATTAAACACTGCTTTATCATAGACGGATGGTTTGACATACTTCACCACGCTCTAATAACTACTTTTACTTGTTCTAAGATCCGTTTAGGGATTGTTTATCGTTAAGCAATGTTAACTGGCTGTGAAAATGTACTAAAAAGTCTATTTATGTAATTAGACATCACTTATGATCAATCCATCTACGCAGTTAGATGGGTCCCCTGTATGGAACTGTGCCTGTTGCCATGGGAAACCTCCAAACCTATGATCACAACAAGGATATGATGAGTCATCCACAGGCAGATCCATATTTATACTCCGTCACCGTGGTGGGTCACACCCTCCACCCCCACCCCACTCTCTTTCCATATATGTTTATAAGCCGGATGTAAGATCTTAGCAGCAAAGTAAAAACACAACTATGAGTCATGTGGTATAACTTTCTTTGGTATGATTAATGAATAGATTCAGTAATATACTGCTCTAATTCGTTATAAATACTAAAGATTATATAAGATTAAAGTTTATAGTTATATATTCATGGGTCATAGCTCATATAATTTAATATTTACACTACCACCAGGGCTGCATTTAATTGATAAAAAACAGTAATATTGTGAAATATTATTAAAATTTGAAATAATTGTTTAGTCTTAGATTTTTTTCAGGATTCTTTGATAAATAGAAATTTCAAAAGAACAACATATATTTAGTAACTTTGTAACAATGTAAAAGTCTTTACTTTCACAGGTTTAACTGGCATGGTAAAAGAAAAAAGAAACATTAATATTGCCTTGCATATATAATTTACATAATTTAAAACAAAATAATATTTAAAATTATCATATAGAAAATGTTAATCTAAAAACGTGTTCCGAATAGTAACATTTAACATTTAACATAAATGGATTTTATTCAAGTCAAAAATATTATTTAACATCACTGAATCAACCTAAACACATTAAATTACACCAATAAATGTTTAAAATAAAATAAAATAATATTAACTAACATTTGTAAGGACCTTTGAAATAACTCTGGAGCAGTGATTTGGATAATTATATTAAAAAAACTCGTAATTATTCATTCATTCTAAATTATTGAACATATGCTGTGGAAATCACAATGCCACCAGTAGACACGAAACAGGAGAACAAAAGAGAAAATCAAGAGACTCTTTGATAATGTAGCTGAAAAAAAAATACAGTGCAATTATGTAGGTCTCTTTGAGCAGAGGGTAATGCTGTTTTGGTGTCAGACACACAGGGTGATTTCCCATGCTGTGCGAGAGACGAATGTAAACAGTGGGGTGAGAGGGCTGACACCATGGGTGTCTGAGAGTGTTTTCCTAAGCCCAGTCTCTTCTAGCTTTACAGCGCAGAGGTGTGAGATGCTGCACAGTTAATAGCACCCTTCGAGTAAGATACCGCACCACGCAAGCTCACACAGATAGCTGACACCTTTCTAAACATTGCATCCCTCTTATAGAGGCTCATAAATGCCAGTTTCTCTGTGTGCGTCAGCAGGAGGGAAGACTTTATAATCTTGACTGGTTTTAATATAGATTCCACATGGAAACAGCTCCGGCCCTCCCAACTACACATCAAAGCAAAGAAGAGTGTCCCTGAGCTCAAGATGTCTATAGTGGATATTCTAAACTTTGACCCTTGAGTATAAATGTTAAGGGTGGTCATTTAGGATTTAAGGTAGTCGTTGCATTCATTCATCAGTAGCAGATGTTCACTTGAACCTCATGGTTGAAGATCACAGAATAGCGCAATAGTACTTTGTCATAGGCTTCACATGCACTGAACAAGTGATTCAGAGAGTTAGAAATATACAGTGAGAGGTGTTTTATGAGAAAGTCAGAGAGAGTTTGGGAAGTGATGCATTGGTATTGACATTTGTGAGAAAAATAATGGCAGTTTTGGATATGAATGGTCAGGGACATCATGGACATCCAGATGTGATGATTTCCTTCTTCAAATACAGAGGTGTTTATATTATCTTGTATACAGATCCATTTACTGTATAATACGACTGAAAAAAGTGATAGTGAAACAAGATATTGTAACATGTTTTTTCCAAAACTTAAAAAAGTTCATTACTAAAACCAAACAAAATGAATAAACATGTTTTTTATAAATAAAAAAATAATGATTATGTAGAAAAATATCTACTCTGTATTAATTTAACAGTGTGCACAGCTATTCGAAGGTTTAGAATTTTTTTTATTTTTTTATTGATTTTATTAAATTCTTCTTTATAAGAATACTTTCAAAAACATTGAATGGTAGTGTGTATTTTTCAACAATTTTTTTTTCGTAGTCAATAATAGAAAATTAGCGACATATTTAAACATATTCAATATTTTAATCATTTTCACATTTTATTATTTTTATTATTATTATTATTATAGAATTTTATTTTTTTTTTTATTGATTTTATTAAATTCTTCTTTATAAGAATACTTTCAAAAACATTGAATGGTAGTGTGTATTTTTCAACAATTTTTTTTTCGTAGTCAATAATAGAAAATTAGCGACATATTTAAACATATTCAATATTTTAATCATTTTCACATTTTATTATTTTTATTATTATTATTATTATTTCACACATTTTATTTATTTTTACAACAAATATTGATCCAGAGCTTTGCAGAAAATAACAACATACAACCAGTGAGCAAGCAGAAACAGCAGGCATGCAAAATATTCATACAATACAATAGTACATGTTACAAAACTATGTAGATTGTTACTATTACTGTTAAGGACAGGAAAAGATTCAAACCCACATTGCCCACGTGAGCATCTTGGCACAACATGTCAGAGTATGCCTGCCTGTATGTCCCTGCTTATGTCACAAGGTTGTTCTTTACTTAAAGCACTGATTCACCACATATTATTATACTTAAAGCTTGCGAACACAATGTCTCGAAATCAGGGAGTTGAACTTGGTTTCCCTGACAACAGCAGCAGCCAGGTTCCCTGTTCTCTGGCCATACGTCAGCCACACATAGTAATCATAGGATGAGCTCACTGAAGTCTGAGCTGGAAACTAATGCATGTCTATGAGCCTCCCAGCATCACCACGCATGTGACATGTGGCCCCTCATGGCCTTCTTGACGACAGCACATGGCAGTTTTATTATCTTGGATCTGATCTTATGTCTGTTAATCGTTCTTATTATTGGTGCTATATGCAATGCTCTAATTTGCTATTGGATGACCTGATTACAAAGACTATTCCCAAATCACAAACAGGGTCTCGTAAATACAGTATCTCAATTGTTTTTCTTAAACAGCAATGAGATTAAATGTATAGAAGGCTTTTGTTTAAATGGATAGTTCAACCTAAAACCTTTATGACTTACTTTCTTCTGTGAAACATAAAAGAAAATATTTTAAAAACTCTTAAAAGTAAGGGTTCCAAAAAGAGGTTTTCACAGTGATGCCTTAGAAGAACCATTATGGGTTCCCCAAAGAACCTTTCAGTGAACAGTTCTTTAAAAAGCATTGTTTCCTTAGTGTGAAAAGCATTTTAATAACCTAAAGAACCTGTTGTGCAATGTAGAGGTTTCATGGATGTTAAATGTTCTTCATGGAACCATCAATGCCAATAAAGAACATTTATTTTTAAGAGTGAAGAATGTTGGTAACCAAACAGATTTGGTTACCACTGACTTCCGTTGTATAGACAAGAAACAAAAACAAAAAAAGCTGAGACATTTTTCAAAATATCTTCTTTTATGTTCCACAGAATGATGACAGAATTTTCATTTTTGGATGAATCTCCTATAATTTTAGAAGAGATTTCAAAGAGATCTCAAGAGGTGCTCAGATTTGCCAAGTTACCAATGCTTGATAAATGCTATCTACATCAATTTTATAGCTTACTGGATGTCAACAATTGCCTCATTTCTGTTTTTAAGAAGAAACACTGGAGACAGTTAATACATACAATTAAGAGCATAACTGAGAACTCCTGAGCAATGAAAACCAACTAATGAGCCATAAAATGTTCCTCTGGGTTTCTACATATTGTAAATAACCAACATGTTGTTTATGAACCATAACATCTGCCATGAACATCAGTTGAGATATGACAAAGCATTAACTTAGCAGATCTAAAATTCAACTCCATTTCTGTCAGGACCACTATCGTCAAAGATGATTGACAATTAGCATACAGTTTGGATTGGTGGTATGGCTCTGTTCTGGGCAAGAACTCCCTTCGCATCCATGCAGCCTAGCATGGATGAGAGCAGGGAGAGCAGCAATAACCCCCAGGGTAAACAGAACAGAACCAACATAAATGTATTGCAGATATTGTTAAAGTTCAATAATTTTATGTACACATTTTAGAATTAGTCTGATTCAAAGGAGAATCAGAAGGCTGAATCCTCACTGACAGAGGAGGAGTTGGGGATGGAGAAGGGTCATTAGCTATTGAGCAATGTGAAAACTGCTGATAATACTATGGGACCTTATATATGAATGCTTAGATAGGTGTCGTATTCCCATAGGTAGATGGGGATCAGCTGAGAGTCAGCTGATGTGAGCTTGACTAACGTGACCTGCCAGAACTAACGCTACGCTTGATTTCCCAGAAACCAAACTTACCAAAGTGAGCTTTTAATCAGAGGAATGCATCTGATTAGGTCAGAACAGCTGATGTAGAAGAAAGTTCACATGGGCCTCATAAGCACTGAGGCAGGAAGGCATGTAGCCCGAGCTCCATTAAATTAAGTGAGTAAAGCAATGCAGCTCAAATTATGAATCATGCCTGCCAGCAATGTGCACCTCTTCAGAGCAGAACTAAGTGAGAGAAAGCCACATAATTATGTAAGTGAGCAGAAAATATTCTAGGGAATAAAAAACAAAGCTTGAATAAATCATTAGCTATTTGATTGTCTTGTTTTTGCCTACTGAAAGAAGAGTATTTCTCCAACAAAGAGATATACACAGACATCATGGCAAGAAAATGTGTGGTAGTACACCAGCACACGTGTACACACATTTAGAATTCAGGAGATCAACTTTGCAATGAGTCTGTGGCTTCCTGTCCTGGTGATCTGGGAAAATCAATAGAGTTTTCCATAAAACAAGATGACAGCAATAAAAGATTTACAGGTGAAGGATGGGCCCATTGCCAATGTACCGTCACAGAGCTTATTTTATATGGTGGCCAATTAAAAATGTGAAGATACAGAAAATACCCTTGAGATTTTGCTGAGGTTTTGATTTCACACCTTTTGCTGATAGGAATCGATGACAGGAATTCACGCCATGTCCGATGGAATATATTAATACGACTTAGTACATACAGCATGTAAACTAAATATGAAATTAAAAATAACAACTAACTTAAAAGGGTGAAAAATAAACTAAACTAAAATAAATTTTTATGATTCACACTAACTAAACTAAAATAAAAATGGACGCAAACCATTTTTGTTTCAGTTTATGGTGCATTGTATAAAATCTTTCACAAAAGCCCACCTGCATTAAAAATTACATCAGACAGAAATAACACTGAAAAATTCTACATAACATACATATTTTAAATGAAACTATTTAGTACATTAACTTTGACAACCCTAAAAAAAGCTAAACTAAACTAAGCTAAAATCAATCAATCAATGAAACTAGAAAATTAATATTTATTTATTTTATTTTATTTTATTTAGTCATTTAGCAGACGCTTTTATCCAAAGCGACTTACAAATGAGGACAATAAAAGCAGTCAAAACTAACAAAAGAGCAACAATATATAAGTGCAAATGACAAGTCTCGGTTAGCCTAACGCAGTACACGTAGCAAGGTGTATATATATATATATATATATATATACATACACATATATACACATATATATATATACACACATATACATATATACATACATACACACATATATATATATATATATACACACATACACATACATATATATATATATATATACATATACATACACATACACATACACACAGGAGGGAACAGTTAATGAAAAAGTCTGTGAAAGTGATTTTGTGCCTCTTTGAGATGGCATAATAATACGCCGTTCACTTGCAGAACGCAAGCTTCTAGAGGGCACATAACTCTGAAGTAATGAATTTAGGTAAAGGGGTGCAGAGCCAGTGGTGGTTTTGTAGGCAAACATTAATGCCTTGAATTTTGTATAACTAAATATAAAATAATATAATAGATATTTATATAACTAAAAATGACAGAGTGAAGACAAAAACTCAATTAAAAAGACAATGAAATTATAAGAAAATAAAACAGATTTAAAAAAACACAAAAAAATACAATAACCCTTCATTCATAAAAGTTTATTTAAAAATTGCACACATAAATGAAGGACTGTAGTTTTTCTGCTGCCTAAGGAATGCTTACACAGATCTATCATTATACATAACTATCATTTTTGTTTTTGGTCTTGTCTGACAATGTATCATAATATACACTTATGTCTCAGCCAATTATATGTCAAATATGTTTACCATCACAAACATCCATTATCAGACACAGACGCTAATATACAGCCTTGGGGTTTCGGGAATGCCTAGAGATTTGTTTCTCTTTCACGATCACGGAATATTTTTTCAGGGAGAAGCAAATACCTGCATATTGTTTGTTTCTGAACTATGATCAGCCTTTGGGCACTAGAAAGTTATTCATTGCTATAAACTGACAAAACCACTGATAGTCACGTAACTGCCTACTTTGCATAGGTACATGTGAGTGTTAGAGTCCTTTGTGAGGTAGTTTTGCATAATGTGGAATTTGTATTTTTTTTTCCTGATTTGTAATATTGGAAAATCATTTCCAGTTTATCGAAATCTACACAGAATATATTGGCAAATTAATTACACATCAGATCTTCCTAATAAACTGGAGCTACAAAGCAGAAAAACACTCATCTCCTTAAGCCAGCGTTACATCAATGTACCCGACAGAAGATCAATGCTTGCGTCATTTCTTGGTTTGCTGTGTGGCAATCTGTACAGTAAGGAATTAGGTTACACATCACAATGGACTTCCTATTGCCTGCCCGCTCGTTTACCTCCGTCCTCTCTTAAACACAGCTTAAATTACATCCATTCAAGTTCAGTGGATTCCTCTGAGCTGTATTTTTCTATCCATTCATTCAGTTGTGGAGTTGCATATAATGCATGTGAAAACAGCAGGGTTTGAACAACAGTTCAAAGCTGAACTACTCAGAGTGCTTACGCAGAATTATGCAGAGTCCTTGAGCGTTTCCGTGCAATTGATTGCTTTGATATGCTGCTGGAGCGTACAGCTGTAGCACTGAAGTCTGAGACCGATTGCAATTTCTTTGCTGGCGCTGTAAATGAGGCCAATGTAATACAGTGCATCTGCATCAGCACACACGCCATGACAACTTTAATGGTTGACAGCAGTGAACTGCTATTTGTTTATGGCCAGTGAAAGTGTGAATTTTAGAGTGTGTTTCAAAACCTTGTTTGAGTGATGTAATCTTTTAGAGAGGAATGTCACCTTTAAAACCAGATTACAAAAGAATTTGCCACTGACACATAGCTCTGAATCGATAGCAGACTCAAAAATGACTTTTCTCATGTTGTTACAAACCAGGGTTATTAGTTAACTAAAACTAGAACAATGAAAAAAGATTATTGTTACTTGAAATAAAATAAACATGAACCAAAATGAAATATAAAAAAAACACCTTAAGCGTATTTTATTTCAGCTAGTTGCCAATACAAGATTTCTCGTTTTCAGATAGTTTAACTTGATGTACTAAAATAACTAAAACTGAAATATTTAAAATATTGAAATATAAAATGAAAAGCAATAAAATTACATAACACACAACATTACTAAAACTTTAAAATTAATATTAATATAAAATTATTTATATTTCTATTTTATATATATATATATATATATA